TCAGAAAGGATGGAGAAACGCGACTGCGCATCCCACTCCGTCAGCCTGGCTGGTCTGTGCTCTGGCTGGCGCGTTTTGGGGCAGCTGAGGAGAAAGGAGAGGGGTGGTGGAGGAGCCTACAAGGGAGCTGGAGCTGTTCGCAATGTGGGTTGCTAGAGGTGTACATGCTACTTGACCCCGCTGGGCTTCAATCCAGATTTGGGGCAACGATACGACTTTAAGTCATCTTTTTGCCCTCCTGACCCCGACGGCCATGAATAACTTTTAACGTTCAAAAACTGCCTGTGCATCTGGAATATTTCGAATGCACTCATCGCTGTGGTATCTAGACACTAGCCCAAAATAGCTCCTCTGAGATGCAGCTCAATTGTCGCTGGTAGCGACCGCTGTGGCTAAAATCCTTGAGGGATATAAAGAGGTCTCCTGTGTCCTCCACAGAAAGGAAGGAAGGGCCCCATTCCTCTCCCTTGGCAGAGCTGTTTGTTAAGAGTGCTGGCATAGGAATTTCTTCTGGCTATGGCTGCCCACAGGAGCCCAAGGAGAGGACAGGACATGGGGGAAGGCGCCGTCCAGGGGTCTGCGTGAGAGCTGGAAGCAGATCTGTCTTTAACAGGATCCTTCGCTTGGTGGCCTGGGGGAGCTGGCCCCGAAGCAAGGCAGCTTGGAGCTCCCTGCCGCACCCCGCCAAGGGGTGATGAGAGGCCGATGCCGATGATTGCCCTGTGCTGAGACTGGTGCTCCGATGGGGAAAGATGTCGGCACCGCGCGGGCCGCGGCGCAGCTGGCTCCTCGGTGACTTCGCAGCTGCTGTCCGGCAGCTCCCTCTTGCCCTGGCCACCACCCGCCCCCCCCCAACCGCAGTCCCTGCTCCTGCAAGAGCTGCAGTGTCGGGAGGCCCCCTCCTGGCTCTCCAAGCATTGCCAAACTGAGCCGCTGTCTGGCAGCATCTTCCTGACCCGTGCTGCCTCCTGAAAGGCTGTAGCTGACGGGGACAGAGCAAGAGGGTGATGGTTATTGCTTTAATAAGATGCACTCAACGCTTCCAAACCCAGGAGCGAGGCCCCTGCTCTTGCTGCCTTGGGCCAGATTTCCCCACCGGCCTCCTGAGGGAGGCAGCGCCCAGAGACGCTCCTGGCCCCCATGGGCACTGTGCCTTGGCAGGGCCCATGGCACGGGCACGCTCCGGCACCCGTGGGGTCAGCACTGTCAGCCAGCCCAGCTCAGGCCTCCGCACAGCCTCACTGCCGCGGCCAGGCTGTTGGAGGGTGACGCTCTGGAGCCAGGCGCAGTTTCAGGCCTGTCTCCATCCTTGGAAAAGCTGGGACCGCAGGACAGCTTGCCTCGCTCGTGCCCGCCTCGTGCGATGCAGCACCCTTCCCACCAGGTAAAGCAGCTGCTGCTCCAGGGACCATCGCGCAGCCTGCGGGAGCCTTGCGCCATGTTTTCTGCAGAACGGGCAGAAACGCGTTTGTCATGCGGCAGCGTGGCCAGCAGACACCTCTGCCCGTGTCCTGCTGGCAGCGCCGCCGTCTCCCCGCGCTTGCACCTTCCCACGGCTGCCCCGCAGGTGCGCTCTGCCCTTTGGCCTGCTCCCGCGCGGCCAAACTGTGTTTCCTGCTGCTGGGAAATGCACATGTCTACAGCGAGTCCCTGCGCTCCAGCCTGGAGGAGCCTCCTGCTCTGAGCGTTGCGGCTGCAGTGAGAGCCAGGTGCTGAGCGGGAGGCAGCCTGGCGCCCGCAGCATACGTTCATGGGGGCCAAAGCCCAGGGCTGCAGGAGGACGGTGATTTACCAGCAGCCTGTTCAGGCGCTAATTCTCCTCCTGCCCGTACCTGAGCACGGCACGCTCGTCCCAGCCCGCAGCCAGTGTGTCCCTGCTTGTCCTAGGGGCTGCAATGCTAGAGCAGAGGCTCAAAGCGGGAGGCAGCCTGGCGCCCGCAGCATACGTTCATGGGGGCCAAAGCCCAGGGCTGCAGGAGGACGGTGATTTACCAGCAGCCTGTTCAGGCGCTAATTCTCCTCCTGCCCGTACCTGAGCACGGCACGCTCGTCCCAGCCCGCAGCCAGTGTGTCCCTGCTTGTCCTAGGGGCTGCAATGCTAGAGCAGAGGCTCAAAGCCGAAAGGCCAGATGGAGGCCGGAGCGCGACACTCTGGGGGCACCATCGGAGCTGCTCCCTGAGGAGC